GAGTTCCACAGAAGGAATAGACTATGTATATAACAAATGTGCTAAAAATCATTGCAAAATAACAGTTGATCAGTGTGTGTTATTAAACAACCTATATCAGCTATGTTAGGTTGTTTAATAACACACACTGATCAACTGTTATTTTGCAATGATTTTTAGCACATTTGTTATATACATAGTCTATTCCTTCTGTGGAACTCCCTCACTATCTTCGAAGAAGAGGGAGTAACAGTTTTATACCCAAAACCGCTGGTTTTTTGGCAAAATTTGAACCCCTCTCCCCCTGGAGGACACAACCACTTAAAATAGTAATCACGACCTCTTAAAAAGGCGCGTACAGCCTCTTAACATGACTAGACGTCTCAGTATCGAGAGTTCCACCTTTTAGCACCTTCAGGTGCTACCCTGCCAAAGTTTTCTATTTATCTACACAGATATTCCCGCTTTTACCAGTATCAATGGCAATAGCACATCTGGTTTATCATTTGTTAAACATAAATTTAATTGACATTAGTTCTCGTGTCAACGATATGTACACTCTTTATATAAATTTATGAAAATGAATTGCTTATTTATACTATAAACTAGTAAATAAGTTAACGATTTTCGCTTTGTGTTCAAATACAAATTTTCGACAGCAATTTTCAACTTCTTTAAAAATCGAATTGATTTTTGAAAAAGTGGAAAATGAATGTTTTCTAATTGTTATGAAATCGTCTACGATTCCATAAATATGGTAAAATCTTCAGCTGAAAGTCCAAGGATATGACCACAGTAGGGCCTCCTGGGAATACAAAAGAAGATAAAAACTGAGTTTAACATCAGATAACTTTTCCAGAAATCTTACCTATAAATACAATTTCTTCGCATTTTTTGTTCTATCGACATGCACTCTTCCACAACATTTTTTAGACAATTAATCGTCACGATATTACATAGGATGTGGTTCTTTGTATACATGCATCTTTGTTTTACAACGTGTGTCGCAGTAGTTAGAAGACTATGAATGCTCTAATCTTTTTTATTGACTCTAACACGTTGAATCTATATCAACTGGTCCCCATGTCGTGCTTTTTTTAAAAATACCAGCGGTATACCGCGATGTAACCGACGGTACTAAGAAAATATCGCACTGTAAACGTTTTTATCCATTCACCATTGTATTTTGCACTCATGAAGATATATGAAACTTGAATTCTTCTTCAGATTAAACTTTTCTTTTAGATCATATAGATTCGTCGAAGTTTGAACGTCGACTCGAGTCAAATTTCTCTCAATCGAGAGCCTGTCTGCGATTACAAGTGCTCAACAATAGAATAAAATTAGTTTCGAACCCCCGTTCTACATGTTCATAATAACAAAATACCAGATTATACCGCTGGTTATACTGACGGTATACAGTGACATACCGGCGGGTCAGTGACATACAGTGACAAAATCGGCCACATCAGAATCTTTTGGTTCGCATATTCATGATAGGTATTTCGAGACCAGTTCTTTAACGATCTATATAAAAACTCAATTGGAGTCCAGACGTATATCAAATTCATGATCAGTGTCAAAAATGTTTCTAAAATTTTTATTCAGTTATAACTCTTCCGTACAGCGCGTAGCACTCAAACTAGATGATTTTAATATAGGAAAAAAATTCTTTCTTAAATCAGTTTCGGCTAGTAAATAAAAAAATCGAGACTAGTCAGTCCAGTCATTAGTCGACAATTCGCCAAACACCACATTTTCCAATGAGCGTAAATCATAAGAGAATTACCTGTCAGAAGTTTCTTAATCGAATTTCATTCAAACTAGTAATATGGCTTAACTTTTTACTTTTAGCATTACAAGATACTATCAGAAAATACTTTGTCTCCGACTATAGTCTTGGAGCATAACTGATGTATGCAGCAAAATTGTATTTCAACTAAGTACAGCACAATTTTCAATGAGATTATCCCTTGTTACTAACCATCAACATACCCAGAGGGTGTAGGAGGATGCACATCCCCCCAATAATTGAATTTTTGTTTTCTTTTTTGTAGTGAATGATTAGAAAATCAGCCGTTTCATAATACCACTAGAAACATAGCAAAACACTAACAGATCTGTGTAGGTCGTTTCTAACATCTCATGATATTATGAGCGGAAAATATCTTTCGGCTTTCGTACTATATCGGACGACTGTTTTAATAGTTTTCGTACTACCTCGAAGAAACATTGACTTCCCCTCCTCTCCCCCATAATATTCATCTCTTATTCGCAACCTTGACCAACGATTGTACTTTGCATGTTGCAATAAAAAATGAGTAACATGGAAATGATGCATGAGAGAAGAGGGAAACACGTCATCCACTTTCTAACAGAAAGAAAGAGGAAAAATAACTTCATTCAAATGACGATAATGACGCACGGTAAACAATACAGAACGGATAGAAATTTGGCTAGAAGTAATGTGTATATCTTTTTAGAAACTATACTAATGTTTTTTTACCACATTTTTTCCACGAAAATATTATAAAAATATGTATCATTATTATTATTATTATTATAAAATTCAAACAAGAAAGTAAAATTCGTTTCATTTTCATTCTTTTCAAACATTCTAGTTGTTTCGAAAAGGAATGAAATAATTGAAATTTAAAACATACGCAAAAATGAGAGAAATTTCTACCTTGTAACCTTTAATTCTCATCTCTTCAGTCCTGTGGCCATTGAAATAGGGTGTGCCCATTGTGTCTATGCCCAAAGATACCGAGACAATGAGCATGGGACACATTGTCCAAGACTACCATGCGATAGATTCGAACTCGGCGCTTTACTCGCGCTGCTTAAAGTAGGCTTCACTTTTAATCTTTCAAAAATATTTTTTTTCGAATGTTCCGTGAAAAACTAAATTTAATTCATTCAAAACTTCAAATTTAACATAGATTCAGCAAAAATCAAACCAAGATCTCCGTCGGATCTTCAAAGGGTTCCAACAACATCACCCATGTTTCGATAGTATTTTTTGTCATTAAATTTTAAGTAAGGTGCCTGTAATTCAAAAGTTCCACACTATTTTTTTCTTGACAGTTTACACATCGTTAGGTAGACTCGTCGAACTGATTTTGTATCCATGTGTTTCACCCTTTGGAATTACTGCTGGAGAGAAAAATTTGCAAAAAACTGCAACTTCGACTGTGGTCCCAAACTCGGTATTTTTACAGTAGAGTTGATTTTTTGAACCCCCATTATGTTTTATAACTTTGTAATTTTTTTCTCTTATTTTGCATGAAAAACCGAATAAGAAAACGTTATTTATCTAGGTTTTTGGTTAATTCATGGAGCTACATTTCAACTCGATGAGTTCTGTGTAATAGTTAAAATGCATCCTGAGTCCCAGTGCAAGTTTGCAGACGCACCGCTTCAGGTTTTGTGTGCATGAACACATCATGGGCATTGAGACGGATCTGGCAGCTCACATTCATGGGGGAAAAGCATCAAAACTTTGCCACGGCAAAATTTCCAGTTGTTGTAGCCAAATATGAGGAGGAATATGCGCCGGAGATACTAGACTATATCACTGTAAGAAGATAGACAGCAGAAAAAGGAATTAGCGGAAATTTAGCGATCCGCATCCATTGACGTTGTGGTGTTAGCTTACAAGCGAATGGAATGCAGCATTCCCGAGCGTCAGAAAGGATAACCGTGCCCAAATAAGATGAAAGGTTTTTTTGGGCACGGAAATTGATAAACCGTGCCCAAAACAGAATTTGTTATTCTATCTAACCATGTGAAAATTGTCGAGAAAAAAAATAGTGTGGAAGTTTTATATTATGGGCATCTTACATTAAATTTAGTTTTTCACGAAAAATTTGGGAAAACGCTTTTGAAAGATCGCGGACTACTTTAGCAAAACTATCAATTTCCAAGATGTTACCTTTTACTATAAACTGGGGACTAAAACAGAAAGAGAAAAATCTTAACATTTCTGTCATATGCCATAAGTAGATTACATTTTCTTATAAAAAGCAAGAACCAACATTCGATTGTTGCATTCGATCGCTATGCTTATTAACTTTTTTAACAGAGTTTTTCATATAGCTTTCATGCAAAGCAATAAGCGTAAAACTTCGATGAATCTTAGCTAATCGTATGAAACAATTTAGTGTGCCATAAAAAATTGCTTATCTGAAAAGCGACTGCTGAAGTAATAGCCTTACGCACTTTGACCTTTTCCTGCCATGTGGAGATCTTTTGAAGGAGAATTTTCAATAGAAAACGGAAATAATAAACGAGTTTTGGAAAAATAAATGAGTTTTGTTGTCAAAATTTTCTACCTCAATAAGTTTTTCAAAAACCTGAGAAAAATGAGAGTGATGGTTGAAAAGACCATTGTTTATATTCCTGAAGCGTTCGGAAACGTATTACTTCAGCTTTTCATCGTCATTTACATTTATTGAAAAAAAAACGACTTTTTGTCGTATAAGACCTTTTAAAAAGATTACTGAACGTCCAAAACGTTAAAATGAATGATAAATGCATGTTTTTGCTCATTTTTTTCTTCAGATTATTTATGGACGATAGTCCCAACATATCATCAAAGTTTTTTGATCAGATGAGTACAATTCGTTTAAACTTGGATAAAATGATTCATCTTGACAAAGAAATTGAATGTATACGATATTATATTCTTCATTCAGTGGAAACCGATTCTAAAATTATTGATGGTTATTCTCAAAAAATGACTCAAATTAAAACAATTACTAATGATGTTCGAAAATTAGTACGACAGTTAAAACAACAGTTGACCGTTCAACAAACAGTTAAAAGAAGAATTGAAATAGCTCAACTACATACAGTCACACATCAACTTTATTTAATATCAGATGAACATTATAAACGAGAAATGACTTATCGCGAAAATTATAAAAAACGTCTAAAACGACATTGTTCACTGACAGGTCGTTCGTTAACTGAAGCGGAATTGGAAAATTTAATTGAATACGATTATCCCGCATATACTATGCCTTCTGTGATGGTTGATACTCAACGTCACACATTAAACCGCTTAACATGTCAATATCATGATATTCGAAAATTGGAATCAGATATCAAAGAATTATACGATTTGTTTCTAGAAATAGCCGAACTTATACGAACACAAGATGAAAAATTAATGACAATTCAAGAGCATACTTTACAGACAGAAAAATGTATTATCGAAGTAACTACTCAAACTAAAGAATCATCAGGTAGACGTGAGAACAAACAATGGAAGCATTGCACAATTGTGACTATCCCGATTGTCATTGTTATTATTCTAGTTCTTTTCATGTTTGTTTTATTAAAACTTGTTGTATAAGAATAGCAGACAAAAAATTGACATGACACACAAAATTATAGAACACAGAACCGATCGACAGGACACAGTCGATCAATCAACCAATTTTTGTCACCTTTTACGTTCACTGTTGAGCTTTCCGTTTAACTTTTGCCAGAGACTATCTTGACCCAGGAGAAGCCATATTCCCTACTTCGCACAATCACATTCGTTTTCTACACATCAGAAATGAAGCACGTCCCTCTGCACAGAACATGTGCTCTGTCAGAGCTGTGCCCTCATTATCTGTTACGTCACAACTCAAACAACGGGTTGCGTTTCTGTTGAGTCTTGATGGCAGGAAAGAAAAACACGAAGCAGTGATGTCATTATGAAAACACTTAAATGATGTTGGTAAAAACATCGCGTCTGTTCAGTCGTCTGATTACAACTGACAGCAAAATGAATACAAATGTTGATTTCATATCCCGAAGAGAGATGCAGCATGACTTATCAGACCGATTGCTCAGTACTTGTGGCAACGATGAATGTTTGAAGCAAGCACAGAATGGTAAGTTGATCATGTGTTCTTCAACTACAGTCATTGCGGCACATACGAACCTGATGATTGTAATGTGTTGAGAATAGTGGAGAGAGAGAGATGACATCCATGGGCAAGACCATAGTAAAATGCGAATGGTTGGCCATTCATCCATATTAGCCTGGGAGGATAGAACAGTGCCTGATACTGAGAAGCACCGTCACTCAATGTGACACTGCTACTCATACTCGAGAGTGAGTATCCAGCTTGCCATTCTCCCTCCTTTATACTTCAGAGGCTCTCTTCATATGAGAGAGACCCATGATCTGAACAATGCACATTTTTTTAGATGTGACACAATTTCATTCGCTTGCGAATTAAGTGATTCTTGAAATCCTTGAATATTTCCATGCTTCTGATATTCTCTACTCATTCCTTCGACTAAACGATCGTTTCAATAAACTACTTGGCAGCCTACAGTTTGATCTTAACTTTCATCGCATCAGCAAATCCAGATGTGACTTTATCTGCGAACGCTTACCATCAATACACTAGCAGAAGCACTGAAAGTAAACAACACTCTCAGTCAACTTGATCTTGGATATAACAAAATATCCGGAGAGGTGTTGCAAAAGGTGGAATAGTTGTTCTTTAGTATGCTTCGGAGGCAGTGTGGTTTTGTTTTTTATGGAGTGTTTTTTATGTGGTTTACGTTTCTTGAAATTGTTCAACATGAGTTGAAGCGCTTAAGACATACTGCAGTTACACATGCTAGATCGGTTTCCTTGCATTGAGGATAAGACTCCAAAGAGAGCTAGCACATTTATTCAGTACGGGGCATAGAGCTATGATTTCGAAAGCTAGATGAGAACTGATGAGCTGTGGTTTGCGGACAAACGATGTTGCTCAGTGGCCATGAGTAATGCAGAACTTCTGCAATTATTGCGTCTTCTACAGCAGAAGACGCAATATGAAGTCTTGAACGCGACCTTTAGGTAAAGCGTTTTCAAATCTTTTCGGGCTTTATAAACGTCGGCAGAGTTGAGTGGAAGTTTTAGAAATAGACTTATTGTCGGGTCAGTCACTATTTCAGCATTATATGTTAGTAGTACAGATGCATATTCATAGCTTATAAAACATAGAATGTAGATAACGTTGACATTTTAAAATGTAGCCCCAAAATCATGACTAGTTTGTTTGAGTACGCATTACACGTTTCATGTATTTGTATACTGAATTCATTATCAGCTTCATCTAATACTAATGACTCTTGATATTTCTCTTGTAATTCATTGTTATTGAGACGTGGGTCTGTAATCGAGGTCATTTGTGGCTGTTTTTAACATTGCTGCTGTGAATTTTTTTTTCAATAAAAACGATGATAATATTGATTGAGGTGACGATGTTTCATGCTCATTTTGTAAGTTGCAGCTAATGATTTCAAAAATCATCTAGAGGGTTTTCCAGAGACCGGATCTCCAGAAAACCTTCTCAACCAACAAACTTTTTGAAAATGGTCTAGAACGATAGAGAATTGAATTCTGAACAAAGTGAGACGTTTTTGAGCCTCGGTCAAGAGAGAGGTTCAAATAACTAAAAAAGATGGTTAATAAAAAATCTCGAATTCGGTTTTTCAGTTTTCTGGACAATATTCTTGATCAAGAAGTCGCAGAAGGCCCGAAAACGTCTCACTTTGTACACAATTCAATTCTCTATCTTCTAGACCATTTTCAAAAAGTCTGCTCATTGAGAAGGTTTTCTAAAGTTCCGGTTTCTGGAAAACCCTCTGGATAGTTTTTGAAATTTTTAAAAATGTTTGCGTTCAATTCGCCATCGCTTTTAGTCTATTTGACGCCATTTCCATTAAATTTGTACATCGAGACTTAGTCAAGAATGATCCGACCCTTTTTTGCTTCGTTATATTACCAGTATGTTACCAGTGCTTATTTTTTTAGTATTTTTCTCTGTTTCAAGGATCAGGATGATATGAACAAAATAAGTAGAATAAAATATTCAACTGTTGGATATTTGAACTAATCCAAAATGAGCTCTTATCGTTAGCATTAGGCATTACGTATGCCCACAGGCCGAAATAAACATCTTACATCCTGTTTTCTCAAAGAGCCACAACAAAAGAAGGTATCTCAGTTAAAAGGAGTCTTTTAATAACCCAAGTTGGACCCAATATCCAAACCCAAGTCCGAGACTTGGGCACCCAATAACTTGATGGGCGTACAAAGAGCAACACTGAATATTTGTTATCTGCAAGTATACTAGAGAGAGCGGACAATATTTTTGTACAAACCGTTTAGCAAAAGCTATTTTCATTACCGACTTATGATCAATGGAAAAAAAGGATTGGGGTTTAGGGAAATTGTTTGCAGCCACTGTGATTTCAATGTCGCATTCTTTGTTGATATGTACAACTGATAATTTTTTGCATTTTTTTAAAAAAAATGTGAAAATTCTCGCTAATATCTTCAACGCTTCAAATAAAATCTGAAAAGTCGTTCTCGATCAGATATCTGATATATAATTTGTCAGTTTACTTTTGAATGGCTACAGTGTAGGTCAGAATCATTAGCTCACATTTGCTTTTAGTTTTTCTTCTCCACTATAATAGGGTTAGAACGAATCTAAACAAAGATTATATACTATCGAGCGTGTATTTTGCGAAACAATGTGTTCGTGCTTATAATTTATCTGTGCAAGACTAGCTGCTTCAATGAGTGTCTTTCCAATACAGGAAAACTTAGGATACAGTCTACTGAAATGAAGATTCCAGGTGGGACTTTTTCATCAATACCTATTACAAGCCATACATTTGAGCAATTTAAAACATTATACAGGATGTTGCAAAACCCTTACGCCCCCTGGTTCGATCTTAAGGCCAAATGATTCCACTAAGTATTTTATACCAAATTGAAGCCCGTAAAAAACTGCATCGATGAGTGAAATTAGATCAAATATTGCCTATTACATTATTAAAAGATCTTACACTAATATATCAAAATGTCATAGATCCTATAATGTTGAATATATGAGAAAACGATCATACCCATTTCTCCACATATACCTTACTTCTTGATGCATTGTAGCTTATATCACTTTGAAGTGTTTTTTATGTTTATTCTTTTAAAGTGGAGTATTATCTACTCTAAGTAGCTCTCGTTCTGTTCGACTGTTACAAAACACGTACACGAACTGAATAATGTGTTTATTCTTAATTGAAAAAGATTCAGTACTCATGATTAACAATGACTAACTTGCCGAATGGCAGTGTGTCGGATGGTGTCGTGGTGTTTTAAACACAGACAATATGAGCATTGTAGGTGTCACAATTGACTATGGACCTTTTGGATTTTTGGATCGTTATGATCCAAAGTTTATTTGTAACGGATCAGACGACAATGGACGCTATTCTTACAAACAACAGCCAAGTGTTTGTCGTTGGAATTGTGTAAAACTCGCTGAAGCACTTAGTGGCGTAGCCACAGGTGGGCTGGGGTGAGCTAAGCCCACCCAAAAACTGTTTGAGCCCACCCTCAAGATATTTGAGTTTATCCGGAAACATTTTTTAGGTGTCTCAAGAAAACTTGTGATATAAGATATGAAAGATATCACATCACATTGTTTTT